GGGGATTAAACTCAGGCCCTTTCGCTTGCCAGGGAAGCACTTATTCCACTGAGCAATCTCCCTGGCCCCTCAGTGCTGGGATTACAGGCATGTGCTATCACGTCTGGACTTGGTGGCCAGCTCATTGTGCCTGGGGTTGGGGCCAGCATGGTCTGTGGTTTCTCTGCCATACTTGAGAAATTAGCACGAAGCTGGGTGTGGCGGCACACGCCTGTAATCCCAGTGCTTGGGAAGCTTAGGCAGAAGGACTATTGCAAGTTCAAGACTAGCCTAGGCTACGAAGTGAGCTCAAAGCCAGCCTGAACTGTGTAGCAAGACCCTATTTCTAAACTACAAAAGACCGAAAAAGAAAATTAGCCTAGGGTGGGCCATTGGTAAGATCATTTTTGCAGCACTGTTAGCAAAAGCTCAAAGTGGGTGGTTCTTTACTTAAAAAATATAGAAGCTGTGAAGCACCTAATTTTCACCAGGAACATAACCATTGTCAGTTCTGGCTCCAGAAAGTGCTCCAAGACAGATCAAACGACTTTTAATTATATCTGTTCCCTTTTATTTTGAGGCACTTTCACTAATATTCTCAGGAGTAGTTGGTGAAATCAAAATATTATTAATAACATCTTTTCCTTAGCATACTTTAAAATATATTTTTACCAAAATAGATTTTGAACAATAGAATGACTGCAGATTAGTGTTTTATAAAAAAAATTGACTATTCCTTCTTATAATCAAATAAATCAAACAAATAAGACTTGATCTCTGAAAGGGCCTACATTTTCCTCTGTCCCTCCTCTCAATCTCTCTCTCTCTCTTTTTCTGTCCCCCCCCCTTTTCTCTCACTAATCCTTCCAATCTGGGCTGGAGCCCAGGGCCTTCACAATGAGCTACATTCCCAGCTCACTCTCTTTTTAAGATTAATTAATTTAATTTATTAATTTATTTTCAGTCAGGGACTTACTAAACTACCCAGACTGAGCTCCAACATGAAGGCTTGTGCTGCCACAGACAGCCTATTTTTAATTCCAATAAAATAATACCTATATCCTTGACAATCACCTGACTTCTTTATTTAAAATTGTGTAGTGAGTTCCCAACCACTCTATTTCTAGCAGAGACTTTGTCCTCATGAAAAAGGCATGGGTAGGAGAAGGCATAATGCCCAGGTGGACAGCTGCGGCCTGGATTACAGCCAGTTGGAGGACAGAATTAGCCGCCTTGCAGCTCAGAGCAGCCACCGCCTGGGCATTCTGGAGGGGTGAGAGGCCTGCCTTTAAGGAGGAGGCTGAGGCAGGCTCCTAGGAAGCAGCCCTGGGGAGGATCCCGCAGGGGAGGGCCCATCCAGGTGATCCTGGCTCAGGAAAGTGTAGGTGGATGCTGGCAGTGGAAACTGATTCCCTCCAGGCACCCCTGTCCAGCCTCCCCAAAGGCTGTGTGCGTCCCATCCCTGTGCACGCACATTGGGCTGCCCATGTTCTCTCCTCCCTGTGCCTCTAACAGCCCATGTGTTCTTCCCCGCAGGGACCACCCCACCTGGGGAGCTTCCAACACTGCCCTGGCCCGATGGCTCCCCCCAGCCTATGAAGATGGCTTCAGCCAGCCCCGGGGCTGGAACCCCGTCTTTCTCTACCACGGCTTCCCGCTGCCCCTGGTTGGTTGGTATTCGGGAGCCCGCTTTGCCTAGGGTGGGGCTGCCTCCCCATGGTGCAGGCAGATCCCCCAGGTCTCCCCAGCCCGTGCTTCTCAAGGCTCCAGTTTCTCCAGGGCCCTAGCACATCACATGACTGTGAGGCTTAGGGCTGCCAGTGGCTCAGTCAGCCAGGGTGGCAGGAGCCAGCAGCTGAGTTCTGCCTCGCTCATTGATTTTAGATGGATTCATTTCCTCCTCAGGTGGAAGACCAGGCCCACACCTAGTCACCGACTCATTCACTCCTGTGTAAAGTCCAGGGCATTGCTTTCTTCCCAGAAGCAGCCTCAGTTGTGCAACATGTTTGTGACCAGTCTGCTGATCAAAACGTGGCCCATGTCACCCTTGGTCTGACTGCCCATGCCATGGCTGACCAGCCTGTTTGCCTTTCCCCCTATGCTGAGAATGGAACCCAGGGCCTGCACACTGAACTACACCCCCAGCTCTATTTATTTATTTATTTATTTATTTTTGAGACAGGGTCTCACTACATCATTAAGTTACCCATGATGGGCTCCAACTTGCATCTGTCCTGCCTCAGCCTCCCAGAGTGCGGGGTTACGGCGTGTACCACCACACACGGCCCATTTCTCTTATGCCCCATTCCACTCTGCAGCCTTTAGACACCTGACTCCAGGTACTGGGTGCACCCAGAGAACACAGCAGCATCAGGGCTGCCCAGGCCAGCTGCCCATGGGCACCATCACCACACTGTACATGGAGACGAACATGGCAGAGGTGGCTTTTTCAGGGGGGCTGTTGAGTGAGAGGACCAGGTGTCTCAGAAGCTGAGGAGGACAAGTGGGTGGAACAGATATGGAGACCTATGGAAGAGCTCAGGGACAGCTCGGGGCTGCTGTCCACACTTCACTCACCCTTCACTCTCTGCTACCCTCTGGACCTTCCCTGAAACAGGGTGCTGCTCCCCGTCTTGTGCCAGACACTGGCCAGGTCTGCTCCTGAGAGGTCTGGGATGCTGGGTGTTGGGTACAGTGATCTCTAAGCCTTCTTCGCAGGCGCCCTGTCCAGGTCTGTCTGCCCAGCACTGCAGCTTTCCCCACCATACTGCAGGGAACAGGGCTTCCATGGGCCCGAGACAAGAATCCCCATAGAAGGGGTCTCCAGTGCCTCCTCTCGAAGCTGCAGGGCCTTCCTGGGTCATGATGAGCTGGTTTCTGCTCACCAGGTACGGGAGGTGACGAGGCAAGTTATCCGAGTTCCCAATGAGGCAGTGACTGAAGATGACCAGTATTCTGACTTCCTGACTGTGTGGGGACAGTACATTGACCACGACATAGCCCTCACCCCACAGAGCACCAGTGCCGACTGCCAGCTGACCTGTGAGAGCCGGAGTGCTTGCTTCCCCATACAGGTAGCACCCACTGCCTTGACTTTTACTTGGAGACTCACCAGGGCCAGTTGAGAAATCAAGCAGAGAAGTGTACAATGAGGTACGAAGTCTGTCTTCAACGCCAGGAGACGTTAGGTTCCAGGTACCTAGGTGTGCGGTCCACAGGAAGAGTGGAATGGTTCCCGCCTAACCACAGGAATCACAACTGCATATACCATCAAGATCTTAAAAACAATTTAAATGTGAATCATGAATATGGCCTAAGTCTGGTACACCCAGAAGTCAGTGCAACTTCAATCTTCCCCGATCACATGCACACCGCTGAGAGTACTCACACAAACAGGGTGCTTATGTCTCAGCCTCCCTACCTGGGGGTTGCTTCCCAGTACATGGTCCCGAACAGCTAGAGTAGTCACTGCCTGTTGCGTGACTGCACTCGGACCGCGAATATTCCTTGATGTTCTAGAGCTGTCTTCTTAGTTACACAGCATTGTGTGCCTTTTGACTTGGGTGCCACTTTGCATAAAATAAAAACTTGATATTTTATCTATGACATGCAAATTGTCGTCTAGCCCACATATCCTTCCTAACCAAAGCTCTTTCAAACCATAAAGTAAAGAAATGGGTTTTGGGGCAGGTGGGCAGGTCCCAAGGGGCCAAGACAGGGTCTGAGCCAGGCCTCCAGTCCCTAGGTGCTGTCGGGGGTATGGGATGGGGGTGGCCTAGCGACATGACCAGGCCTCCCTCTTGCTGCAGCTCCCCGCTGCCGACGCCTCTCCAGGTCCCCAGTGCCTGCCCTTCTCCCGCTCAGCAGCTGCCTGTGGCTCATGGCCGCGCAGCGCACTCCTGGCCAACCTGTCTGTGGTGGCCGCGCGGCAGCAGGTAAACGCGTTCACCTCATTCTTGGACGCCTCCACCGTCTACGGTAGCTCCGCGGCCGCAGAGCGGAGCCTGCGCGACTGGACCGGCGCGCCCGGGAGGCTTCGGGTCAACGCGCGCCACCACGACTCGGGCCGCGCCTTCCTACCCTTCACGCCGCCTAGCAAGCCTGCTGCCTGCGCCCCAGCGCCCGGCTCCCCGAACCAGACCCGCGTACCCTGCTTCCTGGCTGGTGATGGTCGCGCCAGCGAGGTCCCTGGGCTCGCAGCCCTGCATACGCTGTGGCTACGCGAGCACAACCGCCTGGCCGCAGCGCTTGAGGCCCTGAACCCGCACTGGAGTGCAGACACGGTGTACCAGGAGGCGCGCAAGGTGGTGGGCGCCCTGCACCAGGTAAGTGTGTGAGGGACAAGTTGCACACATGCGGGCAGGCCGTGGGGTAATCCCCACAAGGTTACTGTACATGTCCCCAGCGGATCATCCTGCACACTGCTAGTGGGTCCCTGCAGGGTCACCTTGCTCACTGAGTGGATTCCCACAAGGTTACCGTCGGTCTCCAAGAATGGGTGGGAGGGCTTATGATGGGTGCCTGTGGCCCTGTGTCCTTGCCTGGGGGTGTCCCCACCTACCCTGCACCTGTGGGCCTGTGCCCCTGCCTGGAGATGCCCTTCCTCCTACAGGCTGTCTGGACGAATTGGAGCACAGTGCTGTCCTGAGGGCAGGAGTCTTCCCTGTCTCTCTATGATAAGCCTCTACTGCTCCATGTGTCCTAGGCTAATCCTAACTTCTGCTCCTCTGTCTACAGATCATCACCCTGAGGGATTATGTGCCCAGGATCCTGGGACCTGATGCCTTCCAGCAGTACGTGGGTCCCTACGAAGGCTACGACTCCACTGTGAACCCCACTATATCCAACGTCTTCTCCACAGCTGCCTTCCGCTTCGGCCATGCCACCATCCACCCACTGGCTAGGCGGCTGGATGCCACCTTTGAGGACCACCCGGACCTCCCCCCGCTGCTGCTGGGGGACGCCTTCTTCAGCCCCTGGAGGCTCATCCAGGAAGGTGAGACCTGCCTTCTGTGCTGGCCAGGACATGACCTGTCCCTTGGGGTCCTATAGCTGGCATGACCACCCTGGTCTCACCACAGGGTCTCTGTGGCTCTCTTGGCTGATGCTATCCAAATTATTAGTGTTTCTGGGGTAAAATATGTTTCAAGGTTCTTAAAAGGTGAACTGTTGGGTCAAGGAGATAGTTCAGTGGCATAAGTGTCTGCCTGGCAAGTGCAAGGTCCTGAGTTCAATCCTTAGTACTGGAGAAAAAGGGAAAAGCAAACTGTTCATCAGAAATATCCCTTGTTGTGCTTTTGAAGTTCTTTGGAACTCAAATTAGTTGTCTCAGGTGCAGGAGGCTCTCCTTTGAGGTTGCAGACTTCGGAGTAGGAGGCTCATCTTCTGGTGGTGCATGGCCCAGGAAGCTGGGCTTGCTCACCACCAAGCACTTTACTGATCTCTAACCAAGAGTCACCCCGGGAGCTTCAGGGTGCAAATGACCCAGGTCCCCTTGGAAGCAGAAAACACTGTTATTCCCTGATTAGATTCCAGAGGTTTGTTATCTTTCTTTCTGTGCCTTTCCCTGTGCCTTTCCTGGATGTCTGGAATATACAAAACTGGCTACTTCTTTTCAGGGCCTTCTGTGGGGAGGAGTAGGGTGGGAGCTTAGTCTTTTCCAGGTGGTGGAGTGGGGCCCCTGGGTCTGTGACAGCTCCCAGACCACCAGAGCTCTACTCCTTATAGTTCTAGGCAGTGGAGGCCAGCAAATGATCATAAAGTCTCTGCTGCTGAGAAACAAAGGGAAGAGGTGAGGACAAGGGCCTGCCTCAAGGGTGCTGTGATGCGGAAAAGCTGTCCCCAGTATCCAGCATGGTTAGCACCAGCCAGGTGGCTACGTCACCTCCAGGGCAGCATCCTGAGGGGTTCTAGAAAGCAGGAATCACTCACCTTGACTTGTGAACTTGCACAGAGGTGGTTGAGAAATCATGACAGTGTTTCTCCCACGCACAACAGGGACTCAGTTGTGTGTGACCTTGTTCAGGTGGTGTGGATCCTATCCTGCGGGGCCTCCTTGCCAGGCCGGCCAAGCTGCAGGTGCCTGAACAGCTCATGAATGAGGAGCTGACCGAGCGGCTCTTCGTGTTGTCCACGCCTGGCTCCTTGGACCTGGCATCGCTCAACCTGCAGAGGGGCCGGGATCATGGCCTGCCAGGTGCGTGGCCCCTTCTGAGGGTACCTCTCCAGGTGCTAGAAGCCTGCCCTCTGAGAGATGGTGAAAAGTAAACTCTGGCTGCAGACCTGCCACCAGCTTCAGAGCCGCGGGACATCAGAGGCTTTGTTTCCTTCATGGCAGGAGGCATCCTCTAGCCTCTCCAGGATAGGGACAGCCCCAGAGGGGACTGAGACCCCAGAGAGAAGGAGCCTGGACTGTGGTAAAGGAATTAGGGGTTTGCATCTCGGCAAGCTCTTGCCTGACATCCCAGGAAGCTCCTGGGAGAGTGCATGTCCTGCTCCTCTCCTTGCCCAGCCTCCTGCCCCAATCTGACAGAGACCCTGCTGTTCTCAGAGCTGCCCTTGACCATGGGTCCAGTTCTACTACTAATTGTGCTCCCAGCCTGCAGAGCCCTGCACTCTCCTGTCCTCTGCCTGTGTCCTGCCCTTTCCGTCCCATGTCCCTTGTGGCCTCTTCCTCCTTCAGCCACCATGGCCCTCGCTAAGCCCCAGCCTACCATGACCCCACCTCCTGTAGAGTTCAGCTAGCTGCCCTGTCCTCAGTGTACATTAATGCCACATTTTCTGAGCATCCACTCTGTACCAGGCCTCGGGGGGAAAAGGAGGCAGGATCTACACATGAGGCCTGCAGTGGGCAGGATCAGGAGCAAGGGAAGGGCAAGGAGTGGGAGGTGGGGAGAGCTGTGCAGAGGGTGCCTGGGGAGGGCAGGACAGAGGGGTGGGGGAACAGGGTCCTGGAGGGGTAGCCATGCGGGGCGGGGCTGTGGGAAGCTCCGAGGAGGGTGCCTAGAAAGGGCATGGTCACCAGCCCAGCAAAGCTGGAGCCTGGGCAGAGGCTTTGGGAGGGAGCAGTTTGGGCACTGGGTCAGAGGGCAGAGGAGGACAGTGAGGAGCCAGGCCCACACCATGACCTCTTTGCCCCTGCCTAGAAGGGGAAGGCAGTGTACAGGGTGATCGGGCCAGCCTGGGAGAGGTGCGTGTCCATGTGCCCATGTCCCTGTGTGCCTGTATGCCTGTGAGAGACACAGAGAACTATGCTCCCTGTGTGTGTCTAGCACTAATAAAGGAGCACAAAATCCCAGGGGCGCAGCCTGCTCTGCACCTCTGCAGAGCACAGGTGCAAGCCTGCCCCTGCCCCAGCCTTGACCTCAGCCTGAGTCCCTGCCCCCACCGGTCTGTGAACACAGACTTCCAAGAGGGCCGAGTCTGTGCTGCAGGGACAGTATGACATGGTGTTGTGTGGCTGCCACACCAGGGAGGGGACGAGAGCCACCAGTCTTGGAGCCTTCAGCCCAGCTCCTCCTCCTGCACAGGGTACAACGCATGGAGAGAGCTCTGCGGCCTGCCCCGGCTGCAGACCCTGGCCGAACTGCACCGTGCCGTCGCCAACAGGACTGTGGCAGACAGGATCATGGCCCTGTACAGGCACACAGACAACATCGACGTATGGCTGGGTGGCCTTGTCGAGGACTTGCTGCCTGGGGCTCGGACCGGCCCCCTGTTCGCCTGCCTCATTGGAAAGCAAATGAAGGCCCTGAGAGATGGGGACAGGTGGGCACCCGAGGCAGCCTCCTCCTGTCCTGCAGGGATAGTGCCATCTACAGTTTTGGGAGGGGAGCAGCCAGGTCTGGTTCAAAGGCTGGCTCCCTTGTTCAAGGTGCAGGGTGCCCGGGTGGGTCATGTCTTGGGCAGCTATGAAATGAGAGGCAGGAAGTGTCCTAAGCAGCTAAAAGCTTAGGAAAGCAATTGCCGATTTCCCGGATCAGACATCTGGCAAAATCAAATTGTCTTTCACGGCTGATGGATGGTCTCCCTGATCCATACCTGAGAGTCATGGATTTATGTAGGAGGCCTCTGTCACATTTCAAGGGAGTTTGTCCTCAAGTAGGAAGGGAAGCAAGGTGTATGTGACAAAGGGAACTAAGTGCTTATGGGCCTCTGGTCAGGGGCTTGGAATCTTGGCCTGAAATTAGTGGTGTTTTTTTGTGGCTGTTTTTGAATGGGAGGGTGGTCCTGGGGATCAAACTCAGGATCTTGTGCTTGCCAGGCAGGCACTTATGCCACTGAGCTAGCGCTCCAGCCCAGAAGTCAGTGGTTTGAGAGGGCAGTTGTTTCCTAGCATCCCTGTTTCCCTGGGGTGGGAGTTGAAGGCCACAGAGGCCTGGCCCCTGGCAGCCCTGTTGGGCACTGGCTCTTGTGTCATCGCACTTGTTTCGGAAGCAGCCTATGCCAGCCCAGCCCCTCACCCGCACCTCTTGTGCAGGCTGTGGTGGGAGCATACCCCGGTCTTCACAGAGGCTCAGCGGCAACAGCTGTGGAAGCACTCGCTGTCGAGGGTCATCTGCGACAACTCCGGCCTCACCCACGTGCCCAGGGATGCCTTTCGTGTCGGGCGGTTCCCCCAGGACTTTGAGTCCTGTGAGCACATCCCCAGCCTGGACCTGGAAGCATGGAGGGAGACGTTCCTACAAGGTGACCCTTGTTTTCGTATCACGGCGTAGGCTGAGCTGGAGAGAGTGCACCTTCTCGCAGCATCCGGGTTTGCCCCTGCACTCCTGAGAAATCACCACAGGCACAGCCCTCCTCACCCATCCCCCCTGGGCAGGAAGAACAGGAGCCAGGGGTGTGGTTGTGAAAACTCTGCACCCTGCACATGCTCAGGCCCTGAGCAGTATGCTGCATCAGCGACCCCTGGGCCCCATTTTGCACATGGCATGGTCCAGAACCTGCAGGTGGACATGGGCAGTGCTGAGGACAGTACATGAGATCACAGATCTTAAGAGCAAAGCTGACCAACATGGGGCTGCATAACAGATGTAGGACTGGCCAGGAACACACAGGGCCACCTGTCCTGGCTCTGCAGAGCACATGTCCTGACCCTGGCTTTGTTCTGCACATGCTCACAACAAAGGCCACAGCACGCTCACACGTCTCCAGCCCCAGGCAAAGCCTGCTCTTCTGACACCGGGTGACACACAGGTCTGCCATGCAGGACTGGGCTGCACACAGGTGCTCAGGAGAAAGTACCGAAACCTCCTCCAGAGGCTGGGGCCAGTTTGCAGAAATAAATACACACAGGTGCACACACAGACACACACCTGCTGTGTGGGCACACAGCTTCCCCATCCCAGATGAGGAGGCACAAGTCAACCTGCTCCCTGAGAGCCCCATCTGCAAGTGTGGTGCCTTCTCGGGTGCTGGGTGCGGGGACCCAGGCTGGCGAGTCCTCAGGGACACCCTTCAGCCAGGCCTGGGATGCTGGGCTGTGGCTATGCTTCTGCAGTTGACTTCATCTTGGCCTCACTGTTGTGCAGATGACAGATGCAGCTTACCAGATAGGGTGGAGAATGGTGACTTTGTGCACTGTGAGGACTCCGGAAAGCGCATGCTGGTGTATTCCTGTCGCCACGGATATGAGCTTCATGGGCAGGAGCAGCTCACTTGCGCCCAGGACGGGTGGGATGCCCAGCCACCTGTCTGCAAAGGTCAGTGAGGATCACTTACTACTTAGGCACTAAAATCCCTGCACTTGAAAATTTGACCTCAGGAAAATCCAGCAAATGGATTGTGATGCGTGTCACTTGTGAGTTCTAGTGCTGTGGATTCTGGCAAATAAAAACCACACTTAGTGGCCTTTTCCACTAGCTGCTGTCCAGAGGTCATGCAATAGAGGAAAGCAGACAGCTGCTGTGTGTCTGCTTGTATCTATAAGATGTGCAGTCAGCAGATGTGTGCTTTGAGAGAGGGAACATCTGTGCAGATGTTTCTGTGGCGACCTGGGGTCAGAATCTTTCACTTCTTGGAAGCCCCAATTCTGGTGAAGCACTCAGAGCCTGCCTCTGTGTAGACCAACCAGGAGCCTGTGGACACCATAAGCCCCACACTGGGTTCCTGCTCCCCTGTGAGAGGACTGTCATCCAGCCAGGGTAGACTTGCCACCTGTGCCTCAGTGCAGCCCTCCACATGGAGATTGTAGTGTGCAGGTCCCTGCTGTGGACTCCCCATGAGAAAAATACGGGCCACAGATAGAGCACCATGGCTGGATTGTTACCCACAAGAGGGTGGGTTCAAGCCTGGATCACTGTACAGCAGATGTCATCCCAGCTGCAACCCAGTCCTCAGCTGGCCCCAATCCAGAGCCTGTGTCCTTTTGAGATGAGGAAAGGGGACTGAGAAGCACAGTGGCAGTGTGAAGGTGGGGTGCAAGGGTGTCTGCAAGGACAGTGGCCTCTGAGGCTGGAATGGGTGAGGGCGAGCCTCAAGCCATTGGTAGCAGCATCCTCTTGCCCACACCTTGACTTCTGACTTTGGCATCCAGAACAGAGAGGGAAGAAGTGTGCTTAAGCCACCAGTTGGCCATGATTTGTCATGGTGGCCACAGGCATGTTGTATAAGGGGAGAGTCTGAGCCTCAGGGTTAGACAGCTACTGTCACCCTCACAAGTGCACAGCACCCGATGCAGTGTGGACAGAAGTGGATCTGACCAATTCTGGCAAAATCAAATCCACTGCTATCTGCTGGGGCTCATTCACCCCAACGCAGGAATAGTAAAGGATTTCAGGCCTCTGGTCAGGACCAGCTTGGGGCTGCTTTCTGAAAGATGGAGGCCAGGCAGAGGGGTCAGTGTGGTGGGTGGTTGTGATGGTGGCTTTGACTTTCAGGAGCTTCTGGGGTGAGGCAGCGCTTCCAGGCAGCTGAGAGTTCTGGATTCCATGTCTGTGGCTTCCCCCTCACTGCTCGGAGTCAGAGGCCACTGTACAGCTGGGGTCGTGGGGTCCCTATTCCCATGGGGACCTGGCAGATCTCCTTGAGCTGAACCTCTGGGTTCTCTGCAGATGTGAATGAGTGTGCAGACCCAGCGCACACACCTTGCCACCCTTCTGCACGCTGCAGGAACACCAAGGGCAGCTTCCAGTGCCTGTGCACCGACCCCTATGTGCTGGCTGAGGACGCCAGGACCTGCATAGGTAGGTCGGTGCTTCTTCCTTGTCTGCTGGCTGTTTCTGGGAAGTAACTGTCAGCTTGTCTGGGAGGGGTGGGGGCGGGCACAGCGTTCCCTGTGGAACTTCAGGGTCTGTCTTCTGTCTGTCTCAGATGTCCTGGGTGCTCAGCACCCTCTTTCACGACAATGGCAGGCCTGGCCCTGTTTGTGGATATCAGGGATTTTGTGGTGCCCAGGCACCCTGGGGTGGGTCTTGTATAGGGTCCTTTGTGCCCTGTGGGGCTGAGGCTGGAAGGACTTTCCTGTCCCTGCCCCACAGATGTGCGGCTGTTGACCAGAGAGCCCACCTGTCCAGGGTCACCTTGCCCACCCACTTCTCCTTGCTTCCCTCGCCTACTGAGCCCAGGGCTTGCTGGGCAGGGGGATGACCCTCTGTGCCTTGGTGAACTCAGGCCAACCTACTCACCATCTCCTCCTGTGCTAGACTCCGGCAGGCTCCCGCAGGCATCCTGGGTCTCCCTGGTACTGGGGGCACTGCTGGTCAGCGTCTTGGCGGGTGTCACCTGGATGGTGATCTGCAGGTGGTAAGTCCTGAGTTCTTCAGCTGCTCCTTACACACAAGCAGGCTCTGCTCTCGGGGCATGGCCAGTGACCCAGCTGCATTCTGAGGCCAGGTAGCGATGACCTGAGTCCTTGACACTGCAGGCTTGGTGGGTGCCTGCATCACCTTAATAGGACCTCTTTTACTTGTTTGGGAAGATACATAGGAGGGGAATAGCTAGGTCAAGTGAAATTGTTAGTCTTAATTTTCTTGAGGAATCTCTATACTGATTCCCACAGGGGTATACACTTTGAAAGCTGGTTTCTCAGTTAGGGGCCCGTGTCTGTTTTAGGAGTTAGACCTTGGGCTCTGCAGACTTTTGTCTGTGCTTCTCTTTTTTTCTTTCTTTTATTTTTTGTATTTTAAGGAAGAGTCAACAGGGTATTCAGGGTCTCACTACTAGATCGTAGTAATCCTCCTGTTTACAGCCTCAAGCCCAAGAGCTGGGATTACAGGCACGCCACCATGCCCAGTCTCAGTTGCCATCTAGGCACAGCCCAGGGGCCAGGGCCAGCACTGCAGGCCCACGGATGGAAATCCCCTCAACCCGACCCTGCACCAGCTTGCAGGTGCTTTAATCCCTGAGATATTTGGCTGGCCCTGTGCTTCTGTTTGTTTAGTGCAGATTTTCTAGGTCACCATCTCCAATCTAAATTCATCATGATTCTGTTTATTCACTATTAGCTCTCAGAAAATGTGAATCTGTACAGTTCCTGCCCTTATAATTTGCTCTGATTTTTCTTGTTACCCTAACACTCATTTTTCTTTATCATCTTCAGCTTGGGAGCTCCTGAAATGTGATTTTGTTACTTTTTGTGCAGGATGCCTGATGTTCTTGGTTGTAATTTGTATGAATTATTCCTACTGGTGATACGCATTATAAACTTGACAGTGGGTGCTTTCCGTGGTGTGTAGCTAACCCGTGAGGACCTGAGTGGTTCTCCTCTGGTGCCCTAGGCAGCCCTTCCATCCTGACTTAGTGTTAATGAGGAGTCTGCCTCGCCATGTTTGCTGTACCAGTGGGGGCGGGGGTGCACTGAGCCTATAATGAGCCCATTTAGACCCCCTTATCCCAGTGTCAAGGCTACTCAGGGCTTTGCTACTAGACCCAGGCTGGGCCCACAGAGCTGGTGGTAGAAGAGCCATGCCCTGGGAGCAGTGCCGGGCTTTGCTTTTGTTTTCATGTGAAATACGCCTCCACTCAGCAACCCCACTGCCACGCACCTCTCCCTGTGGATGAAAAGTAGACCGAAGGGAGAGAAGCATTTACAACTCTGGGAGATACTCACACTAGCACGTATCTTTTATGGAAAGCATGCTGAAGAAGAAAGAACGGAAAAAGAGCAAGCTTGCCATTGTAACACTCTACCAAGGACAAATTCTTCCAAAATTTGAGTCTATATGCTTCCTTTTGTCAAATTGCTTTTTCAGAGGACATACACTCCTACAAAGATCAGGCCATGTTTGTTAAGTGTAGTTGTGTTTGTTATGTGCAGTTGTCCTTACTTATTTGACATGGTTTGAAAAGTCCACCCTGTCTCCGTTTGGTGGTGTCTGAAAAGGTAAAATCAAGCACAGTTAGCGGTGCCAGTTTGGCTGTTGTTTCCACCAATCACACGCACAGAGGTGAGAACAATGGAACTGAGCACTGAATTAGAGGATGCAAAATCTCATTAAACACCCAGCAGGGGGGAGCTTCCGCACTGCACAGGGCTCAGATTTGTCTCCTAACCAAGCTGTGCATGTTTGCACCGCTCTGAGGTTGTAGGGAGCAAGCTGGTGCAGATGCCTCTGTGAGGTCAGAGAGCCAGGGTTCTCCGCCCCCCACTCCTTGCTCTGCCTCTGCTGGCCAAGCCCCCACTCGCTCTGATTCTGTGAATACAGCCCAGTCACCTCTGCCTTGCATGGCTGCACTAAGGCTCACAGGGAATGTACCCGTACGGGAAGTATTTTGTGCCTTGTGAAGACTAAGTGCTCTATAAAGGATTGTGTTGCATAGCAACGCAAACCTGCACCGTCCTGACTCACCTGGCTGCCTCTGCTAAGATTTGCTCCTGAGGAAGACCATCATACCACAGTATCCACGGACAACCCGTTTACTAAGGGAAGAACTCACTTCTGAAGAAAACATCATTGGACCAAAGATCTTACACATAGGCAATAAGATGCTGAAATTGCTTTGCAACCCATCATGGGGAGATGCCCTTATCTGGGACTTTCCTTAATGAACAGGATTTAAAAGTGATCTGTCCTCAAACTCATTTCTGTATGATAACTTTAGCAGAATTGGGGTGGTTTATACATGCAATTTATTTTACCTAAGTCTGTAGCAAATTCCTAGGATGAAAAACCTACCCCCACTTCTTTAAGAGTACGTATTTAAAAATACGTTTTTCCCGCCCCCGGGGATCGAACACAGGACCTTGGGCTTGCCAGGCAAGCACTTATTCCACTGAGCTATCTCCCCAGCCCAAAATAAATGCTTTGATGTCTTTGCTGCCTTTGCTGCTTAGAAATGATTATCACCTGGTAACACTTCCTACAGCTAATGTTTTAGTTGGGCAGCACTTTTATAAATGTTTGTAAGGTAGGCTTACTGCAGTTATTTCATTATTTTATTGTTAGTGTAAAGTATATAATTCAGTAAAGATGTACAGCCTGGTGGAGCTTGTTAGCCCACCCTGATGATTCTGGCACAAGGTGTTGCACTGGCCGCTGAGATGCCCTGGGCATGACTGTTGGGACTTCTCAGGTTCAGTGAGACAAGCCTGTGCATCAGCCACTGTAAATAAAAATTGAAAACTTCAGCAAATAGAGCTTGATAAGCACTAAGAATTTAGTAGTCTGCTGCTGGGCATGTGTCATTGCCACTTTGTTATTAAACATGAGACGCACATTAGGGCTGATCTATTTTAAAGCAATGTTTAATCTCAGCCATAAGTTGAGGTCAGGACTTCATGCTTGTCAGTAATCAAAGAAAACCACACTAAATCAACTGTCAGATATGATTTAGATCTATGAGATTAAACGCACAGCAACTCGAGGAAGGGCAGTAGCCACAGGGTGCTGAGGCTGGAGGCCTGGTGGGGTCTGGCAGCAGGGGGCTCCCATGTCAGCCTTGCTGGGAAGGCAGGGCTCGCCATGACACTGCCGGTGGCCCGTGACTGCTTCTTTCTGGGAACATGCACCAAGACACTTGTCCCACAGGACAGGCAAAGACAGGGCTGTGATCTTACACCAACATGTAGATGCTCATGGAGGGTGACAGATGCAGCCACTGCCATGGCCAGCTGGGGTGGAGGTACAGGAGTGGGCATCAGTCACCAAGAGCGAGGCAGCGCAGCAAGTGAGTGCACTCTGGCCAAAGTCTCTGCGGAAGAAATCAATAAAGTGAGTTGAAGGAGCAGGCTTGTATTTTAGAACTCCATGTTTCCTGGTTGACACTGTGAGTTGATTCATGCATGCCTTCAATAATTAAAAGCAGAAGCCAGGGCAGCACTGTCACACGTTGCCACAGACATTCTAGTCCTGAGCCCTTCTGCTTCCTCAGGACCTATGGTCAGCCACAGCCCTGGTACCCACGGGCCTGCAGCTACCATGCATTGCAAGGACGGGATCTGAGGAAGGGCCTGGAGGGAGAGATGCCCGCAGCCCTTGGGTGGCATTCAGGACTCCAGCGCAGGAGGCAGCACCCCATTCTCACTACAGTGGGGACAAGACTGAGGGCTCCCCTGCACCAGTGGTGGCAGCACCTAGATGTGGGCTTTTCCACAGGATGCACTGTGCGGCAGAATCCACACTGCCAGTCATCGAGGGAGACGCGAAGGTCCCTGCCCAGCCGGGATGTAGAATGTGTCGGGAAGCGGGCACCTCGATGTGCAGTGCTGCTGCTCTGGACCTGGAGCAGGTGAGTCTCCTGAATTTCCTCAAGGTGACAACATGCAAAGGCATTTCTCATGAACATCCACGAAAAGGCCCAGCCGCTCTTGCAACAGCACACTGGCGCTGGGTTTTTGGGACCTGGTCTGTGTGCAGTTCTGCACCTTTCCTTCTGTCCATTTTCTCTGGTACAAATTATATTGATAAGAGAATGATCATTTGTCAAAACTCAAACCCAATTTAGAAAACATTCAGACAAATTAGAATCACTGAAGCAGATGGAACATGATGAAAATAATTCATTTCTTCAAACCAGTTATAAAACCAGCTGCTCGCCTAGGGCTGGGGTGGGAAAAGAAGGAACCAGGGTCCTACTGTCCCCCTGGGACACAGCCTAGTGACCCGGACCCTGCCCACAGGCCCACTCCTGAGGCTGATCAGAACTGGGCGGGCCCTGGGCTCACCCCAGCTTCTCTCCTGCAGGAGCCAGCCTATGGGTCACAGATCCCCCTCTGCATGTAGGGGCTGAGCTCTGCTTGGAGTCCTGGCCTTGCCAAGCCCACACGCTCAGCTTGGCTGGAGCCTGCAGCCTGCTCACCAGCAAGGAGGTGGAGGATGGCGACTGTCAGTGGCCCTTGGGGCAGTGACTCCTGTGTCAGGCCACCGTCTTGTGTGAAGGCTGAGGCTTTGCAGAAGTGAAGAAGGACATGAGGGGCATTTGTCCCGAGTTTCATAGCAGGGAGAGAGGGTGGGGGTGGGCCTCACAGGCTGCTGAGTCACCTGATTAGGACTGGTGGCCCCAGACTCCAGACACTGCAAAACAGTTTGTGTCAGATGTCTTCACAGAGCCTGTCTTCCAAGTGCAGGCACGCGTGGTATCACCTTCTCCTTATTCTAGAGCTCACAAGAATAAACACAATGGCCTCAGACTTGTCTCTCGTTTTCTTGTAAACAGTGCCAGACATGCTCCTCCCAGGAGTTTGTATTTAAATGGACTTACAGGGGCTGGTGAGATGGCTTGGTGGTCTAAAGCACCTACTTAGAACTAATTAAGCTAAACAAAGCATAGGGACCGCGGTTCAATCCCCCAGCACCACATGCCAGCCAGCCCCGCCCCCTGGTGGGCTGAGCGGGCCACACACACACACACAAATTAAAAAAAAAAAAATGGATTTACAGCCAGGCTCAGTGGTACACACTATAATCTGTCTTCTGGAAGGCTGAGGCAGGAGGGTTGCAAGTGGGAGTCGAACAATTTAGTGACTTTGGCAAGATCCTGTCTCAAAAACTTATTAGAAGGGGCTGGGGTGTAGCCCAGTACAAAGGCTCACGTGTGTGGCCAGACAGTACTGTCAGCTCCCGGGTGCCCAGGACCCTGTGTGTGGCATTTAAGCCTTCCAGGCAGTTAACTGGGACACGAGAGCCATTTTACAAGTGTCCCAATATAGGTATAGTGGCGCACACCTGTAATCCCAGGGCTCAGGAGGCTGAGGTAGGAGGGTCACTGTAAATTGGACACTAGCCTGGGATGCACTTAAGAGTTCAAGATCAACCTGGGCTACATAGTGAGACTGTCTCAAAAAATAATCCAAGAAAAAGAATCCCAGAAAAACCAAGTGTCATGCTCACCATGATGACAGTCCCTGGTGTGACATCTGATGGCTTTAACAAGTGACACTCTTTCCAGTACCCCAGTCCTTTGGTGCCTGCAGGCAGGCACTCAGGAGTCCTGGACTCTGCAGGTGGCTAGAGCATATGCCTGTTTCTATACATCCCAGGTGTGGATGCAAGGTGCATCCTGGTAGCTCAGCTCCGTTACTTCTGTTGCCCCTTCCTGGCTGTCATGGGATGGTGGCGTGGTGTGCAGCGAGCACCAAAACCTCCCAAGGGGGCTGTGTGTCACCCTGACCTATCGAGCTAATAATATTCCTTAGTTATTGTGGACTGAGGAGGCCCACAATTTCCCACATGAGGACAGCAAAGCCTTAAATAAATGAGAGAAGGGGTGTGATTTTAGGATTGCAACTCTCTCACAGTGATTTTCTGGGGGTTTAAGACAAAGCACTTCTCTGGGTGGGCATATTTATTAGCTTTTCAAATGAAGGAGGGCTATACTGAAGAAAAAGCAAGAATCCAGACAGGACTTGGGAGTCCCTTCGGGGACTTCTCCATGTAACACCTATGTTAATTTAGGAGCGCTGTGATGGCTCCAGGAAGGCCTTCATGCAGAAGGCTGCAGCTGGTCTCCTTGTAGCTAACTAGGGCCAGAGACACACGACCTCAGCTGTGGTACTGTCTTGTCCTTTGAGGCATCTCAACTTCACAGGGCAACACAGGCCTCAGGCGGGACCAGTGACTCACAGAGGTTCACTTACTGTGAGTCCACTGCCCATTTCCTCACAAGGGCCTAAGCCTTGGACAAGCTCACACGTAAACATGAAAAGCCCATTGGCTAATACAAATCCTGCTCAGAGCCACTTCACTGTATTCTCCGTCACTGCCGAGGGAGAGAGGCACTGGCTTACATCTCTCCACAAATCAAGGTCCAGAAGACCCGGATGGAGCCACTGTGCCCTGCTGTGGAAACAACGCTACTGTGCGGCTGCCTTTGCCCTGTGGATGGAGGCAGCTGCCTTCCTAGGCCTCCTCCATGCATTGGTGATCCGGGCCAAACTGATGAGATGGCGACATCTTCTGGCCACACCATGCATCTGTTGTACAATCCCACTGAGTGAACACACACAGGGACTTGCAGTCACCCCTGAGCCATCTTACCAGGGATGTAATTTTCAGTTTGTCCTTTCCTGTGTGTCCCAGCCAACGCAAGTGTCTGTTGTCCAACAGCACCACCCCCTGGTAGCTTCAGGGACTACCAAGAGTCCAGCCTCTTTCCGCAGGAAGAACCATGGGTCTGTTATTTTCCATGGGTTCTGCACACAGCAGCCCTTTTTTTTTTTCCCCGGAATCTGGGACTGAACTCAGTCAGACCCTTGTGCTTGCCAGGGAAGCGCTTATTCTACTGAGCCATCTCCCTGGCCCCAACAGCAGCCTTTTAATTTTACCTGACTTTTGTTTTTTTGCTTGGAGCTAAATAAGGGCAGTTCCTCATTCAGCTGCAGGGGTAGCCTGGTGCCCTGTGGCCGCTGAGCTTGGAATAAGCTGCAAGCTGCTCAAAGTGCCCTCTGGCTTTCCCTGGCTACAAACTCTATGGGTCATGTGCACTCATAGCGATATAACCAGAAGACCAGCAACTGCCATGCCCCAACCTGAAGCTCTACACGGGCAGAGCCCACCTTCCCTCCTGTGTGGCTCACACCTGCTGTCATCTCCATTGAGTGAGAATACTCCATGTGTGGATGAGGGGTGGGTAGGTCAATGACCCCATAGCATCTACCACTTGCTGCAGGAATGATCATCAGAGGAGGTAGCCGAGGACAGAGTTGTCCAGGGTGAATTTAAAGGGATAATCAATGTTGTCTTAACCCTAGAATTCTAAAATACGAACTGTAATTATTCGGCTTTAAGCATGGAATCTGCGCTGATTTATTAAGAGTTCGACCCAGTCATTCCTCATCTTAGGCCAGCCATTTTCTCCTACATGTAGCAGCTGTCAATTTTCTCACCGACCTAACTCAATCATTTGTCCCTAACTACTATGGCTGTCCCAGAGGCCTGTACCTGCCCCAGGCAGACGTCTGCCCCAACTGCAACAGGCGGAAATTCGAATCAAGCAGCAAATGGAATTTAGTCCAGTCAACAGGCTTGGATCCGCAGGCACAAATCTGAGCCAATTACCAAACTTGAATTTGGACCAATCACAGAACTACTGCTGGTATATAAGCACCATTCTTCTTCCATCATACCTACACAACATCCTTGTGGGGAGGGGACTAATAATATAGACCAAGATTATGGACGCGATCATCAGAGATAACACTAGGAGTCCGAGGCTGTGGGCACTTGGGTCCCTCAGCTGTAGTGTTGAGGGCCAAACACACCGCTGGAGCCGCAACACCAAGGGCTGAAGGCTGCGGATTCACAGCCCCGGAGTTAAATCAAGAGTTAAGGCACGCATGTGGGCTGTAACGCTGAGCAGAGGACACCAAGCTCTACAGTGGCAATGCTCCGGGCTGCGGGCACCCCAAGCTCCAGATGTTTAATACACCGAAGGATGATAGTCTGGGCCACGAGCTGTAACACAGGGTGCGAGGGCAGTAATGCTGAGGGCTGGGAGCTCCCCAAGCCTGAGAGCCGTAACATTAACGGCTGAGAACACGGACAGCCTCCAGCTTTGATGTTGGCACTCCGAGCCCGAGCTGTAACAAAGCCCAGAGGGCTTCTTGAGCTCCGGAACTGCAACGAAGTTACAATTAAAACCGACATTTTCAAGAGCAAAACAAAATGGAAAGATTTTTGTGGAAAGATTCCGACAGAAAACAAAAAGGCCACCTTCCCGGAGAGGGAAGGACGGCTGGGTCCCGAGCGGCGCCGGCTGGCGTCCCACGCAGAAGCTGTCCTCGCAGGCGTGGGTCGCAGGCGCCGGAGGCTGTGGCTGCGCGGGCCCCGAACGGCAATCACCGTGGGAAATCCACTCGTGAGACGCCAGAGTTGTGAGCTTTCCAAAAGCAGATGTAGGTCCCATCGGCCTGCGGCGTCCCTAAGCCTGGATCACCTCCAGTAAGCTCACCTGTCCCTAGTCAAACCAGGCAGCAAATAGCCTCTACCACATTCATCTCTATTGTAACTCCACGCGAACGCGAGACTCGCTTTAAAAAAGGGGGGGGGGTGAAGAATTATCGCGAGAGGATCCAATTAAGCCAATCGGGACTCCCTTACTGATCTCGCGAGATGAGAACCAGTGCAATTACTTCGGAGCTGGGCGGAAGGCCCGGTCGGCAGTTGGGAGGGTTGGTTTCCAGGACACAATGCCGTCTCCGTTCTCCGTCACCTCCTTCCCTGTCAGCATCCCTGCGGTGATCATGGTAATTCGCAGCCCCTGGAGGGGGAACCAGGGGTTCTCAACCATGTGGTGCAGACCACTTCGAGGAAATGGGTGCGTGGGGCGGAGCGTTGGGGCGGGGCCTGGGCGGCCCGGCTGGGGACCGGAGCTGGGAGGGGCTATGGGCTGTGGGGCGGGGCTACGAGCTGCGGGGCGGGGCTTCTCGAGAGGCGCGGTCAGGGTCGCGGTCCTGTCCAGCGCTGGAGGGTGGGGGACCGTAGATGCTCGGAGCAGCCTCCCGGGCCCCCAGCTGCAGGTGTGGCCCTTGGTTTGGTGCACGCAGCCTCTTTTATCCTACCAGTCTCCATTCAGGTTGCAGTGCGCTGTATTTTGGGTGTCCTGGTGCACAGGAGGCAGGGGCACCCCTTGGCTGAGAGTGCTGAGCGTCAAGAGTCCTGAGGAGGGCCGGTCAAATAGCTCAGCGGATTAAAGCGACAGTTTAGGCAGACGCAGGGACCGGGGATTTGATCCTGCGGTCTGCCGTGCCGGCCCCGCCCCCGCCCCCGGGGCGCGCTGAGTTGGCGATTGAGACTGGGCTGGGCTTGCGGCCCACGCCTGTAATCCCAGCGCTTGGAAGGCTGAAAACGGGAGGATCACTATGAGTCCGATCAATATACTAAGACGCTGTAGAACCTGTACTAAATACAAAAAAAAAAAAGTCTTGAAGGGCCCTGAGACCCCAGTTGTGGGCCCGGTCGGTGTTGCCTCTTGCGGGAGGCGGCTCTGGGAAGAATGTTGAGGGGCTCAGCAGCCCGGTTGAAGCGGAGCTTCCCATGGTAGGATGAGGGCCCGAAGTGAGTGCCGTTAGTGTCCACTGTGATGCCTTCAGGAAGTCACATATGTCCCGCACCTCCACACTGAGAAACTTCACAGGATCCTGGTTTTAACTTGAGATGAACAAAATGTATGAACTTGATTTTTTTGGGTGGGGGAGTAGAACTGGGGGTTGATCTCAGGCCCTTGCGCTTGCCAGGGAAGCGCTTATTCCACTGAGCCATTTCCCCAGCCGGTGTATGAACTTGAGCAAGTCACTTAACTTCCTGTCATTTAGGGGACAGTAATCCCTTAGATCTCACCCAGTTTGAAGACATGGTTCTATTCAATCAGAAGGAGTGAGTTGGTGATGTTCTGTTTTGTGAGCTCAGACTTCAGAATCATTAAAAACCTGTGAATGCACATTCAGGGGAGGAGATGATTTCCTCCCTTCTCCTTTTCCTGCCCCGCATTTCCAGGCATCCTGGCTGTTTTCGCGGGGTGCCTTGTTCTTTTGACTTTGAGGTGCTACAACCTCTCAAGAGTGGGGTGCCTAATGGTGTGTCCTCACAGCAGACAGACTGGACCGAGCCATGGCTCCTGGGGCTGGTTGTCTTCCACATGCTGTGCCTGCTGCTCACCTGCTTCTCAGCCCAGAGGTATGGACTGCAGATCGGTCTCTTCCTGAGCCTAGGTGAGTGGAACAGCACAGACCCTGTGCTCCGTGGACGTCTGGTAGACTGTGTATTCTTTGTCCTCCGTGTGTGTGTGTGTGTGTGTGTGTGTGTGTGTGTATGAATATTCTGCGCTTTCAGGATATGTAAGTTATTTTCATACCCCTGCTATTGGGTGTTCTGTATGTAAACTGTCAGGGTAGCTGATTTGAAAGAGCTGGATAGGACACCTTCTCTGTGATAGGGTTGGTGCCAAGCACCAGTTGTATGAAGAAGTCTTTGGTTTTGACAAACACTGTCTTTTACACAGATGTTTGCCTGCTTGGGTCAGTCCTATGCACCCTGCTGTAGGAGGAAGAATGAAAAGGAGGAAGGAAAGATCTATGCATGAAATAAGATATTGGGGCTGGTGAGATGGCTCAGTGGTCTAAAGCACCTACTTAGAACAAGCTTAGCAAAGCAAAGCTCAGGGACTGCGGTTCAATCCCCCAGCACCACATGCCAGCCAGCCCCGCCCCCTGGTGGGCTGAGCTGGCCACACACACACACACACACACACACACACATAAATAAATAAAAATTTAAAAAAAAAATTAAAAAAAAAAAAAAAGAAATAAGATATTGCCCTGGTTGGGTTTAAAGATAAGGACTACAGGAATTCAGAGAAGGGATGGAGCTTCATTCCATGACTAAGAAAGATTGTGTGGGAAAAAGAAAACAAAATCATGCGATAGGTTGAAAGGCTGGGCAAAATGGCAGTAAGAAAAGGCAAGGAAAAGGAAGAGCTCACCAACCTGGTGTGAGGTCAGGGAGAAGGCTCCTGGGCAGAGCCCCTAGTGGGAGGGCTCAGTAATGCTGCTGACCTTGGGTCAGGGCCCAGAGAAATCAGTCTGTAGGCTCCAGATGTTGCACACGTGCTGGAGGATGGGAGCTTGGCCTCTTGATCATGAAGGCAGTGAAGAGAGCAAAGAGGTTTGCCAATAGAACACGCCCTTTAATTTCAGACACCTTAGCTGGCAGTGTGCCAGGTAAGGAATGTGGACAAGGTCTGCCCTTAGGAAGAAGAGTGAATTTGAGTATGTGTATGTCACAGAAATGCCTCTGGGCAGACGAGGGGTGGGTGGACTTGTCACATCTGCTCCTTCCCATGAGAGTGTATCAGGTTATGTCCTAAGGATCACCAGGAGTTCAGCGGTGAGCAGAGCAGGCCCCTTCATGGGACTCTGCGTGCAGTGATCCGTTCCGGACCTGTATGCTTTTCGTGTGTTTTGACTTGTTAAGTTGTCAAAGCATCGCAAGGTTAGGTATCCTGTGTGTCTTTCTCCAAGGGAGACCAGCACTATAGCACAGTAGTAAGCCACACGGTGGGTCCCTACTGCCATCCCATGGTGCTCATCAGGGTTTAGTGGCCTCCTTGCCCTTGCTCAGACCTGCTTCTCCCTTTCCTACTGGTCCAGCCTTGCTGGGTCCACTGTGCAGGGCAGTGAGGACCCTGTAGGGCCAGGGACATTCAGGAGGTTGGTGCATTTTGATGTAACTGACCCAGTGAGTACTAGAAATTACAGTGCTGGGTTTTATGCTCATTGCTTGCCTTTTCAGTTGTGATTTCTCCCACGTGTGAAATTGGCCTCACCTCTGAGCCGCTTAGAGGTGTGGCACACGCCCTGCAGCCTTGGGAGGTCCATGGTCAGGGCCAAGGAGGCCCGGCAGCCCTCTGTCGGCAGTCCCTGCAGGGCTGCCATGCCCGCAGCTGTGACTCCTGTCCTTTGCCTCCCACGCCCAGTGATTTTTCATCTTGCTTCCTCCGCAGGCCTCGGGGCAGTGGCACTAGTCCCTTGGCTTGTTCTAGGGCAGTTCTGCTGCGTGGCTTCGAGTGGGATGGCCTGTGCCAGGCCACCGGGAGGCACTGTGGTTGTGTACGGCAGCCTTGTATGGCTCTGCTGGGACCACTGAGACCTCAGCCATGTTTTGCCTGCTTTCTGTTAAATGGGCACTTTCTGTAATTCAGTTTATAATTCTTATTTCACGCTGTGACTGAAATGGAAAGTGCATCTTCTGTTGTATTAGTATTAAATATTCTGTTGTAATGAATGGATGTGCTCTGTAAGGAATGGCGATCTGCCATCTAAACTCCTAACATGTGGTCTGTCTTCTCTCAGCGACCTTAGTCTACTGCGCTGAGTACATCAATGAAGTGGCTGCCATGAACTGGAGGTAACGCCAGCTTCCTGGGTCTCCCCCGAGCCCCTCCCTGGGCAGTGGTGTCACTGCGGGGCTCTCGCAGCTCATTGCACTCAAGCAAAGTGCCGTTGCCCAGGGGTGCTTGTGGCCTGGGGGCCTGGCCTCTGAGCCCCTGTCACCTCAGCCCTGCTGCCACCTCCAGACCATGTGTCTCCCTGGTGCCCTCCTCTTGGTTCTTCAGAGTCATGGCTCTGCACTGTCTACAACACCCGTGACAACATGTGGGTTTCAGTGACCAGTGTCTGAGTCCCAGAGAAGCTCCTCTTTTCCTGAAGAGGAGGCTGCAGCTCAGTGGGCTTTGTGCAGTACCGAGTCCAGGACTTGTGACTGGCACATGGCAGGTTCTCGGTGTCGCTGTGAGGTTCATGTTTCCTTTTCAGGAGCAGCCTCTGCAGACAGGTCCTATCTGCCATGGCCTGCTCTAGCTATGGGCAAGCCAGGTCCTTTAAGCTTCGGCATTTAGCCTGTGTGTTTCCTCTGCAGGTGACACCTCACTAGTGACAGCCTGACACTGCCTTTCACACATAGTAGCAGAGCACAGGGCTGGCTGTGACCCCACCTTCTATGAGAAGCATTACCCTAAGAGCTTATGTGAGCGATGCATGCACCTTAGTGTCCCTGGCTGCCTATCATTCCTCCGTCTCCTGGTGCAGGAGGACACTGTTAGGCCAAGGAATTCTTTGTTTTTGTCTTAAAACAGGTCATTTGCCAGATACCAGTACTTCGACTCCAGGGGGATGTTCATTTCCATAGTGTTCTCGGCTCCGCTGCTGCTCAACGCGGTGATCATTGTGGTACGTGGGTGCGTGGTGCGCTCCCATTGCGCTTTCCTCTGCTTTGTGGGTCTCGCCTCTCATGTGCCTCACTGTGATGTTTTCTAGATCATGTGGGTGCGCAAGACTTTGAATCTGATGACCGACTTGAAGAAGGCACAAGAGAAGAGGAAAGAGAGCAGGAGGAAGAAGGCGGAGTAACACCCGCTCCGGATCCTACATTGTTTGTCCCTCCACTGTGGCAGCTTCCAGGGTCAAAGTGTGCTTGGCCCAGTGTGTAAAGCTGACTCTGGGTCACAGAAGGTTTTTTTGATTTTAATGCTGCAGGGAGAAACGCACACTGAAATGGTTTCTTCAACCCCATGCTGAACCCTCTGGTTCTGGACCCACCTTGGGTGGATTCAAGTCCTGGAGCCCAGCACACCCGCTTCTTGGGCAGATGGTGGCATTTTCTGAGTCAGTGCTGGTTATGGGCCCTCTTGAGACTGATGTGGGAAACTGCAACTTCTGTCCTCTGTGCCAGGTCTACAGCCTGGCACAGCCACGGACAGCTCTTCTCTCAGGACTTGTGGCGAGGTAGATGACACCTTGCTTGTGCCTGGAGGAGGGCCCCCTGGCTCCCCAAAAACGGTCATGTGCTGCAAGAGATCACAGGGCTGCGAGAGTGTGCACACACTTGTCATGACCTGCTTCTACAAGGCAAGCCTGAGAGCTTGGGCCACGTCACTGATGTGGCTTTGGGTTAAAATTTGAAATAGAAGCTGTAAGGTCAGGTCTGTACAGAAGAGAATATGGTTTTATTTTTATTTTTTTCGCGACTATGTTGACTGAGCCCTCTGATTTTTCTACATTTTAAACTGTAAGTACAAAAGCACTCAGTTTATGAGCTATATTTTGTTTTCACAAAAATAAACTTTAGTTTTTAAACTTTGTAATCAAGGTCCTGTTCCGGCCAGTGTTGCACTGTGAGCAGCTGTCTTCGTGTTTTGTCCTCACGCTGGGAGAATCTGGCAAGCCAGAGTTATCAGCAGATAGTCCTGTTGACATTCGCAGTGTGTGTGGAGTGACCCTGCTCTATAGAGCCTGCAGAATGTGGGCTGGGGTGGGCCACAGTGACCGAGAGCTTGCCTGGCCACACGGGACCCTGGGCCTTTCCCTAGCATCACACACAAACACGCACATGTGCGTGCACACACACAGGCAGTTTGTGGTCTGTGAGCTGTCCTGTGTTCATTCTGTACGGTGAAACACTCGTGATCTGCCAATTACATTAGCAGATGTCTCTACATATGTTGATGTGGTCTGTGGGGCCCTGTTTATTCCTATTCAATAAAATACATTGTGATGTTGTATTTTTCTCCCACCTTATATTTTTTTTTCTTTCCGGTATTGGGGATTGAACTCAGGGCTTTGTGCTTGCCAGGCAAGTGCTTATTCTACTGAGCTATCTCCCCAGCCCTCCTGCCGTGTGTTTCTCACTCACCTGACCCTGGACCCCATCTGTCCCTGCTGTGGCAGTGGGTCCTCTGCCTGGCTGAGGGGCACGTAAACTTGGGAGGTGAACTTGCTGTGAGAACTGAGGCGGTAGGGAGAGGTAGCCATGTTCACTCCCCGAGACAGTTTTTTGGACAGTAGAGATGTGCAGGGGTTTGGAGTGACATATATGAAGGTCCTGAACCTGGCTGGGGCTGAAAGTGAGCCAGGAGATTTGTCCCACCGGCTCTGTCCTGGTTCCGGCCAGCCCTCAGTCCCCATCTCCACCCTGGGCACGGAGTCTGTTCCTTTTCCTTACGCAGGACATGTTCTGAGTGCATGCTCTGTGTAGGTGCGGTAAGGGCCAGGACTCCTCAGGACAGCGGGATGCTAAGTCGCCCTGTGAAGTACATACTGATGTTAGCCCCCAGGGCCACCAGCCTTGGTGGTTAATGAGAGGACCCACACCCAGACCAGCCAGGGAGAGCAGCGCTGGGTATCCTGTAGGGGTCAGCACTGGCTCCAGGGTGCCCTGGGGCACCAGGCTCTGCTGATGTGGGGCTGCCTTGTGGTGTTGGGTTGGTCACATGAATGGGGACGCCTGGCCATCTATTGATACATCAGTGAAGGCCACACATCTCCAGGTGCTACGCACAGGTTTGAACCCAGTGAGGGAGACTTGATGTTCACAAAAGTAAATCCTGTAGTCTGCCCTTGTCCACTGGAGACCAAATGCCAACCTCTGACACATCTGATAGTGGTGTGAGTTTTCATATAACTACACACAATGTCCAGTGTGCTGCACATCCCAACCAGGTTACCCAGAGTACCCACTGCGAAAGAAGGCTGTGTAAATAGTTGTGTGGTTCAGCAAATAATGACAAGGGAAATATCTGTGGTCAGCACAAACACATTTTCCCCCCAAATATTTGCACTCCAAGATTGGTTGGGCCTGAGGCTGAGGAAGCCACGGAGAGCATCAGCACCTATGGGTGGGGAATTCTGGGAGACAGTCACCCCTGAACTGGGACTGCACAGAGGCTGTCTGGGCAGGCCCTTAAAACGGGGACCTGGGGTGAGTCCCAGACAGGAAGGTTCTGTTTTGGGCCAGCAGGGGACCCAGACCCACTGGACATGTTCTGGGGGAGGGAGGGGCAGAGCCAGTGGCCTGGGAAGCTGGCTTTCCCAAGTGGCATGCATGGTTGCCTGGGGCTGTGCAGCAGGGCAGGGCCTGGCACCCTTTTGAACATGGGTTCCGGCTACCCTGCTGGAGTGGTCCACAGGTGCAGTGTGCTGGGGCCTGCAGCAAAGGCCGGGTTGTGCTGACTCAGGCTCAGAGAAAGACCGGGTTTGCTGGCTGCATTGGGGTTGGGGGCACCTCACGTCTACAGTCTGGAGAGGGTGTCTGTGAGGTTCTTTGTAGTATGCAGCCTGAGGCAGACTCAGGAGCACAGAGCAAGAGGAGGCTGAGCTCAGTGTGTGGGGACAGGCGATGGACAACAAGAGGGTAAAGCTCCTTCCTGTGGGAGGCCATGTGGTGGTACCAAGTCAAGTGCTGGTACGATCAGCTAATTTTGCAGAGTGAGAGCTACAGACTGTGCTGGAGGAATCCTACTCAGTTTACGGCACCCATCCCCATGTGGCACAAGGACCAGGAGCTCACGAACAGGCAGCTGGTGCGAAGGCACTGTCCGGCTGCACAGTCCAAGTTCCACCCTTTGCACTACCCGCTGCCCTACCTAGTACAGAGCCATCTTAGATTCTCATTTGTGACCTTTTGGCTACTCCTGGGAGAGAAGATTTTAATTCTTCCTGGCATTCCCAGAGATCTGCTAAGAAGAGTTATGAGTACAGGAAGCCTCTGTCCCTGGGAACCAGGGTTTGGTATGAGGAGTGTCTTTGGAGTCCCAGCTTGCTAGAAATTGAACATTGGGAAAAATCAATACATTTTCCTGAATTCTAGTCATTCTTGGAGAAAAGGAGCACATGATGCTGGCGGTACCATTTAGGAAGATTGGGCTGAGGGTATAGCTTAGCGGCACAGCTAGGGCCTGCTGGCAAGTGCAAAGTCCTGAGTTTGATTTCTGGTAAAAAAAAAAAAAAAAAAAAAGGAAAAGAAGAGAAAAGAAAACTAGAAGATCACCGTAGCATGTGCTGTGTCTTGAGTTTTCCCAGCTGAGGTGCATGTGTGGTGCTCCTGTTCAACCGATATGGTGCCCGCATGTGAGTTGGGTCAGCTCCTGCAGGATTCTGTGTGCTCCTTTTCTAAATGGAGGAGAAGTGTGAACAGGGACCATGGTGACATGAAATACAGCCTTGTCTCCGCCAGTCCTGAGCCTGATAGGCCCTGGTCCTTGCTCCCGGGAGTTGAGGCCAAGTCTTCCTCTGCCAGTTGTCCCGCGAGGTTCCTTCCTGAGGTCTGGAGCAGGCTACTCTCATGTTTGCCTCCAGGGGGCGCTAAAGCGCCACCTCACACTCATGCTGGCGCCCAATAGAGTTGGGTTGCGGAAGTCGGAAGTTGGAAGTTGTTTTCCAAAGAAGTCTACTGTGTGGGACTCAGGAATGTCATCATGAGTTAGAAGGACTGGACAGAGCACAGCAGTGCTTCCGTTTGCTTTGCTCCTTTGAGCTGGATCCTCCCTCCCTCCCTTCTCTCATTCCCTCTTTTCCTCCCACCCTCCTTTCGTCTTTTTCTTCTCCTTAACCCCTTTTTTCCTCCTTTCCCCCTCCCCTCCCCCTCCCCCCTTTTTCTCATCCTTTTCTTGGCTTTCTCAGAGCGGTAACTGTCAGAACTGCCCCGAGCCCATCACGTGTGTGCCCTGTGACTTGTGCTGGGCACAATGACCCTCTGTCGCCCACTGAGTGGGTTTCAGCCAAGGCCAGCGATGACTGGAGAGGGCAGCAGAGTCAGATGTGAGGGTTTGGGATTACAGGGAAGCTGGGACGGATGGGAATGGAGGTGTGGGAGAGGAGGAGGGCCTGGGGAAGCAGGGCTGAACACTGAGACCTTGGGGTTCCCACCCTTTGGAGGGAGCTTGGGGACCAGAGGGGCACCAGGGTGGAGTAACAGAAGCAGATCGTACTAAGCCCATGCTGACTTCAGAAGAGGCGGCCTTTGGCCTGTGGAGAGGAAGGAAGGGGGTGAGGGAAGGGAGAGAAGGAGGAAGAGAGGAAAGAAATCCAGGGAAAGGGAACAAGTGGGAGGGAGGCCTGGCCGATGTGGCTGGAGGCCCGGCTTGCTTGCGTGTCCTCTGCACTTGCTGTAGCACAGTGAGTGTGTCAGTCCGGAAGTTTCGTTTTGTCCTTCACGGTGCAGCTCACATTCTGCAAATGTCATTTTCAGTCCTTCGGGTCCTCTGACATGATGTAGGACCAGAGCAAAAGAAGGTGATGGATGGAACCTTGTCCCTGTGGGTGGAGCAAGGACATGGGCCGGAGACTCGGGAGTCAGCTCCGATGCTCTATCACGAGCTGGAGCTGCTCTGACCCAAGTCATAATTTAGGAGGAACTGGAGAGGAATTGAGGAGGACAAAGAGCAGTCCACAAAGACTGTCTGCCACTGCCACACAAATGAAAGAAACAGGTCTGCGCAGGAATCACCCGGGGCTGAGCGTCCCCTGCGCGGAGGAAATGCAGGCTTCACGGTGCTGGCGGCAGCTGATTCATGACCAGAGCTAAAGGGAAAGGCATGGATGGTTTGGACTTTTCCCAAACTCCAGCTGAAAAAAAATAGACTAAATGCCTGAAACAAGGTAACTAATGGCTGGCTTGGCGGTTGTCACAGCGGCTGTGCCAAGAGATGGAGACAGGCATGAATTCTGCTTACCTGTAAATTGAAAGGAGGGCAGGGGGAATTGTGGTTCCACAGCAGATAACGTTCGCAGAGCGTGTGTGGGTGTAGTTAATGACTGTCCGCTGGCCGTAATTAACATGGTTTGTGGGAGCTGTGGGTCACCGGTTGCTGTCACATGTGTGTGGCTCCCAGCTGAGCTTCACCACCTGAGAAGTTCCCAGAGTCCTCCCTCCTCAGGTCCCCAGGTATGTCTGTGCTAACCGTGTGCCAGGGTAGCTGGGCAGCACCCCAGTGCCACACCAAGGTCTACTGTTGTTGCAGGAAGCTGAGTTAGAAATAGTATAGGCAGTCAGACAGGGCTGGGCCCTCAGAGGAGATAACACAGAAGACAAGATACCTTACGACTATAAAAGGGATAGATGCTCCCGCTGTGGGCCAGACCTAAAGACCAAAGATCAAACAAGTGATGACCTCCCTGAAGATTAGCATCCGGGATTGATTATCACCCTGAGGAAGCCCGGAAGAATCCTTAATCCGACTATTACTGGCTAGCTACCACATAAAGTCCTGTAAGTCCTGTTCTATATGCATGCCTGTTTGCTACGTGACTCGCTTCTCTATTTGGTCCTGGACTTAATCATTTTTATCTGAGGAATGGTGTTTATAATCCCATTGGTTGATCATACTCTTGTCCCACCTCATGTGCACCTAAGTGAGTTCCCATTTTCTCCACCTTAGCCCTGCAGGGTTTTGCCCTATAACAATAACCTGGAAGAGACAGCGTCCAGGAAAACCTGCTCGGGTCCTCCTTCTGTCCCTCTCAGACAGAAGCTTTCTTTCCCAATAGATTTTCTGCTCTTAACCTCCATTTGTTCCTAAAAATCATTCTTCAGTTTTAGAGAACACAAACTTGTCCAGGTCCCTTTCAGGTCAGGAGTTTCATTTCTCCTATATCACTGTCTTATTGGGGCACGGGACAGATGGCCAGGAACTCGCTCGGGTGGACCGAATAGCAGCATCCCTGTGCTCAGTCTTTAGTATAGACAGAGAGCAACGCAGACTCTGAACTCTCTAAGCCTTATCGT